TTTGAATCTCCAGTGCCCTGGCACACTCCAGGCCAACTAATTCAGACCCCCACAGTGGGAACCCAGACTTAGAATTTTTAAAGCTCTGTATGTGAGTCCCGTGAACAGCAAAGTCACAAACCACTGCGATAGCCTTTACCATCAGAGGCTTGGAAGGCAAAGACGTCCGGTGACAGAGGTCGCAGACACTACACGAGAAGCAGAGGTCGGTGCTGCCTGTCCCAGACACTCCCCTTGGCCCTGACCTGCTTCGTCCGTGACGTCCTGAACTCCTTTCATCTGTCAACAGTTTAGTCTCCCTTTGTGATTATCACAGTGAAAACTGGAATTGTTGACTGTCCCAATCACTGCTGAGTGGGCTCTCTGCGGTCCTCGTCTTCTGAATCTGGGCATTAGGAAGAGTATTCGGGGTTCTGAGCAGTTTCTGTGGCACCAAGAGAATGCTTTCAACTGTAACAGGAGAGCCTCACCCCCGGGACGAATTCCGCAGAAACAGGGAAAGGCCTGCTTCGGGCTCACTCCCCCTTCTCGGCCTCCTAATAACAGGTATGCCCTTTATGAGATATGAGTTGTCAGTATGACAAGAAAGGGCCTGTAAAACTGAAATGGGGCCATTCGAGGAGAGGCTGCAGCCAGAGGCACTGGCCCCTGCTGCTGGGCCAGGGAGTAGGGCCGCCCGATTCCACCAGAACAGTCTGCAAGGTGAGGAGGTCACGTGGCCTTTCAGAAAGCAAAACCCAGACAAAACAAACTGCTTGAAGGTCGTGGGTCCCATCCCGGAGCCTAGACTGCCTGAGGAGGCAGGAGCAGGTGGCACTGGCACATCAGAGACGGGGATCCAGACACCAGACACTCCTGGGTTCTAATCCCCACTAGGTGATGTGGATGAAGTCATTTGACCTACGTCCCTGTGTCTTCAACTCTAAGAAAAGATGGAATACCCACCTCATAGAGCTACTGTGACAATTAAATGAGAAAGAGGGACATCGTGCCGGGCACCAGGGGGGCACAGTGGCTGTGAGTCCCACTCCCCTCTTTTTTTATAGAAAGGGTCTCACTTTTGTCGCGGGTGGGCGACAACCATTTGGGCCAGTGGCACACGGGGGTGAAGAATTTACCAAGACAGCCGTAGGTAAAGAAAGGCCGATATATGCGAGGAAGAATGAAAAGAGGTTTTGAGGAGACAACGGGCGGATCAGCAGAAGAGGAGCGGACTGCCAGAGACAGAGGCTCCTGGAGATTTTATAGGATGGTTTCGGCTGCAGAGGTCTACGCGCAATACTGATAACACCAGGGCTGCAAGGAGCTAGCTTGCATGTCTCTCTCAGCCAAGACATCTGATGATAAACTGAAGTGTTTGATGTGAAATTGGGTGCAGGAGGATTGTGGGTAATGTACGTTATCTGCGCAGAAGGGCTACGTGTCCTGGACCATGAAGAAAGGCAAGCCGATAACTTACCTGCTTTATCTCTGTATCTCCCTCTGTCCCACCAGCCTGACTCCTTTGCCTTAATTAGGAGTCTACAGATTTGTCATCCAGGCTGGAGTGCAGCTGTGCGATCATAGCTCGTCGCAGCCTTGAACTCCTGAACTCATTCAATCCTCCTGCCTCAGCCTCCAGAGTAGCTGGGACTACAGGCATGCAGCACCATTCCCGCCTTTTTTTTTTTTTTTTTTTTTTTTGGTAGAGATGGGGGTCTCACTATGTTGCCCAGGCTGGTCTCAAACTTCAGGCCCCAAGTGATCCTCCCACCTTGGATAGTAACAGCACCTGCTACTATCTGCCTTGTTGATTACAGCTATCAAGGTGTGGAGTGGTAACCTTACATTTTTATTAAGTAAGTTATATTTTAGGGAGGTTTTTGGTTGGTTTGGTTTGGTTTGGTTTGTTTGAGGCGCAGTCTCACTTTATCGCCTAAGTTCTGTTTGGTTTGGTTGAGATGGAGTCTCACTCTGACACTCAGAATGAAGTGCAGTGGCACAATCTCAGCTCACTGCAACCTCTGCCTCCCGATTCAAGCAATTCTCCTGCCTCGGCCTCCCAAGTAGCTGGGATTACAGGCACCTGTCACCACATCCAGCTTATTTTTGTATATAAAAATAAGCTGGACGTGGTGGCAGGCGCCACCAGGGTTTCACAATGTTGGCCAGGCTGGTCTCAAACTCCTGACCTCGTGATTTGCCCACCCTGGCCTCTCAAAAGTGCTGGGATTACAGGAGTGAGCCACCACACCCAACTGGGGAGTTGTTGTTTTAATTTTTTTATAGCCTAATGTTAAAACTACATGGAATAAAAGGATATTAAAACAAGAAAAAAGTGAAAGGTTACAACAGGACAATAAAGATGGAGGAATGCTGTCTGAAAGGTGAGAGGGCTGAGCATGGGACAGGAATGGCTGTTGGCGGGGACGGGTGCTGGCGTGTTGTCAGCGGGACTCTAGCATGTCTGGAGGCCACTGGCATGTTCGGGGGAACTAGCGTGTATGGGGACACTGGTGTGTGGGGACACTGGCATGTTGCATGGGGACACTGGTGTGTGTGGGGAGGATACTGGCATGTGTAGGGGGGACACTGGCATGTGGGGGACACTGGCATGTTGTGTGGGGACACTGGTGTGTGGGCGGGACAATGGCATGTTGTATGTGTGGGGACACTGGCATGTGGGTGGGGGGATGCTGCCATGTGTGGGGACACTGGCATGTTGTGTGGGGACACTGCCGTGTTGTGTGGGGACCCTGGCATGTGTTGGGGGGGCACTGGTGTGTGGAGATCACTGTCCTATTGTGCGGGGCACTGTTGTATGGATACACTGGCCGGGCTGGAGAGGCACATTCTACCTGCTCCTTCCTTCCTCCATTTGTTCCCTTTAGTTCCCATGTGACTTTCTGGACTGTGGGAGAAAGCAGTTTTCCAAGGGATCCCACAGGTGGCGTTCCTGACGAGGCTCTGTTCACATATCAGCCCACAAGTCAACACACATTGCCCCTCAGGACAAAACCTGCCGCCCAGCATTTAAGCATTTACCTACCATAAGGGGCACAGCAGGCATCACCAAGGAGGAGCCAGAATCCAGCCTCTGCTAGACCCCGAGGGCCCTCGAGGGGCGTGCCAGGTGCTTCAGTGAGAAAGTCATTTTCACAGAAGTATAGACCATTTCCTCAAACCTCACTGCCAGCCTCCAAACAACACTCTCACAGAGGAGGGCCTAATTCTATTCTCAGCTGGAAAGAGGACAGAGGAATGCCTCCAATCGCCTTAACTTCTAGGTGTCTGTCCCTCGGGCCAAGTCAGCAGGTGGAGGTTTACCACCCAAACTCAGAACCAGACCCCAACAGGGGTGGAGTCCTTAGGAGCCTCAGGCACACCCTATGCACCAGTAGAGAAAACCTAGAACGGTGGGGAGGGGGAGTCCGTGGTGATTAGAGCGTAAGGGAGGAAACAGTGCCACTGGTTAAACAGCACGCAAGCTGTCTATGTGGGGACAGACGGGTTTGCTACCCTCAGAATGATTTTACAAGAACAGCCTGCCACTGAAGTCTGAATCCAAAACAAAACAGCCAACAAGGAAGTATATGGACTGTGAACAGTGGCTTCACCCTGTGGGCCACAGACTGACCCACAAGGGACTGCAGGTTTCTTGCAAGGGGTCTGTGATTTCACCTAACAAGCACTGTCTACAAACAGATGGTCTTATACAACTCTTCTTCAAATAAATGGAGATCTGCTGTGCCTGAGGCAGTGTTACTCAGTTGTAAATGTTTCTGGGTAGTTGCTTTTTGTCCCTGCATATTTTTTAATTTTTCTTATTATTTTCAGAGATAGGGTCTCACTCAGTTGTTATCCAGGCTGGAGTGCAGTGGTGTGATCCCGGCTCACTGCAACCTCAAACTCCTGGGCTCATGCCATCCTCCCGCCTCACCCTTCCGAGCAGTTGCGGCCTGTGCACAGCTGATTTTTTCAATTGTCTTGTAGGAATGGAGGCAGGGCGCTCATTATGTCACCCAAGCTGATCTTGAACTCCTGGGCTCAAGAGATCCTCCCACCTCAGCCTCCCCTGAAGTGATGACAGGTGTGAGCACCGCACCCACCCATTGCGCATTGTTCTAATCCCTGGACAACCAAAGCACCATGACCACGTAGGGTCCGCAAGGTTTTTAATGTTCAAGGGGGTGTCCATCTTGAAAACGGTAAAGGAATTAACATATTTAGGTCCACCAATAGGGAACAGGAGAAAGAAATTCTGGCACAGCACAGGGGTCGGCAGACTACAGCCCGCAGCTGTCTCTGGAGAGCTTCCCAGAGCCAGCCTTGCAGTGGTTGCCACGCTGCTGACGGCTACTCCGCAGAATCGCTGGGACCAAGACCACGGTCCAGGAAGCTTCAAATGGCCACTATGTGGCCCTCTACAGAAGAGTCTGCCCACCCTCCATACAGCACACTGTGAAATACACTGCATGATACTGAACAGTGAAGAAAAGAAAGGAAGGTACTGCAACTATTAGGTAAAATAAACTGTATATACGAACAGGGAAAGATGATCAAGAAATCATGAGAATGTCTTATTTTAAACTCTGCCTGCCTTCTGAGGCCAGCAGGCCCCGTTCACTTAGTTTTGCTGGGCTCCAGTGAGAAAGGAATTTGAGTTCTTGGGAAGGATGGACCCCTGGGAGGGAAAACAGGACTCTGGGCAACAGTGACTAAGCAGCGACCCCGGCACAGGCCTGAACAGAACAAGCAGCCCCTCAGTTACGGGGGTGGCACCCTCAGAAGCTCCCTGAGAGCTGTGCAGGAAGCGTCCCCTCCTCCCCACCCCAGATCTGAGGGGGATCGAAACTCAAAGAATAAGAACAGAGGCCAAACCACCACCATGGTCTGCCATCAGCTGATGTACACTGAAGCCCAGAATCAAGCAGACAGGCCCACCAAGGCCCCGCTGTGAGGGCGGGCCAGCTCCCCTGGTGGAAAGGCCTGCCCAGGAAAGACGGCAGAACAAAGCAGAAAGAGCCGAGGGCTGAGCCGGCCATTCTTCCCAAGTTAATAATTAGACAAGCCCCTGCCTTGGGCATTTGAAAGGCCAGGAGCATGTTTGGGGGAAACTCCCTCCTCCTGGAATCCCTGTGTCCCCTTGGAGGGCTCTTCAACACCTACCAGTGAGTCTACACAGGAAAGGGCTGGAGGCTGGGCCACCTTGTCAGGGACCCAGAACTGCCTCCCACTGCCCCATCCGCACAGCCCAAAGCCACCCCCCACCAACCTGCCCCTTAACCCAATGGTATCAGAGCATCTTAAAAGCACGACCGCTTGACTCTGATGGCTGCTGTGTCAGATAAGAAGCAGGCCCCATGGTGACAGATCACACACACGGAGTGCGGCTGGCTGCTGGCTCCCTTGCAGTCCGCCTCTCTCCTCACAGCTCAGCACTTTCTTCTGAAGAGCATTAGAGGTGCCATGCAGACAGCTGGTCCACCTGCACTCTGCCCCACAATCCCAGAGCCTGTGCTGCCCCTGCAGACTCCTGCATGTCCTGGGGGCGGCCACCACCCCAGCCCTTGATGGCTGTCTTCAAATTAACTTCTGTTTCTGTGGAAAAGCAAAGGGAAAAGGACTAAGCTCCTAACTGTTGAGTAGAAGCCACTCATCGACTCTAAACTATGGAAATTTAGTCCATCAAACCTTAGTCTAAAATGTGTAAGTCACACCCACCAGAGGAGGTGACCAAACACGCTTCGGTGAAGTCAGGTAAAAGCTGTTTGCAAACTATGCAGAGTCTCGGCAGATGCCCTGAGAATCTTTAGCTCTTCCGTCCACAGGGATTCCACCAGAGTTAGCTGGTTTATCAGAGCCTCTTTTTCATCCTTTGTACGAGACACCTGAAAGTTATTTATTATTTTTATTGAGGTAAAACATGGATATATCATAGAATATACCTTTTAACTGATTTCAAGTGCACAGCTCAGCAGCATGAAGCACATTTGCATTGCTACAGAACCATTGCCACTCTCCAGCTCCAGAACTTTTTCTATCACCCCAAACAGAAACTCTACAACCATCATCAATAACCCTATTCCGCTCTTTGAACTTGAACTGTCTCTATGAACTTGCCTGTTCTAGGAACCTCAGATAATGGACTCATACAGTATTTGTCCTTTTGTGTCTGGCTTATTTCATTTAGCACAATGTTTTCAAGGTTCATTAAAATCACACTTTAAATCCCAGTCATGTTTTCACACAAATGAGCTGATTTCTCATTTAACTAAAACATTTACTAAATAAAACATCAATGAGAAAAAAATGCTTGAAGTCATGCAGTACTTTTTTACTTTTTACCTTTTTTACTTTCTACCTTTGAATAAAAAGTATAGGCAAAGATATGGAATCAACCTAAGTATTCATCAACAGATGAATAAAGAAAGAAAACACGGCACATATACCCAGTGAAGTACATTCAGCCTTATAAAAGCAGGAAATTTTGTCATTTGTGACAACATGGATGAACCCAGAGGACATGTTGTCACATGGCAATAAGCCAGCACAGAAAGACAAATACTCCATGATCTCACTATATGTGGAATCTAAAATTGTCAAACTCATAGAAGCAGAGAGCAAAATTGTGGTCGCCAAGGCTAAGGAGTTGGAGGGGAAATGGGGAGATGTTGATCAAAAAACACAAAATTTCAGCTGGACCAGAGGAACAAATTCAAGAGATCTATTGTATGTCATGGTAACTACAGTTAGAAACAATGTATTATGTACCTGAAAATGGCTAAGAGTAGATTTTAAGTGTTCTCACCACAAAAAAAGAAGTATATGTGATCATGATATATTAAATAGTTTGATTTACCTATCCACAATGTATACAAATATATACAATTTTTACTGACCAATTAAAAATAAAGAGGCCGGGTGCCGTGGCTCATGCCTGTAATCCCAACACTTTGGGAGGCTGAGGTGGGCAAATCACCTGAGGTCAGGAGTTTGAGACTAGCCTGGCCAACATGGTGAAACCCTGTCTCTACTAAAAATATAAAAATGACCCAGGTGTGGTGGCCGGCGCCTGCAATCCCAGCTACCCAGGAAGCTGAGGCAGGAGAATCACTTGAACCCAGGAGGCGGAGGTTGCAGTGAGCCGGGATCACGCCATTACACTCCAGCCTGGGAGACAGAACAAGACTGTCTCAAAGAAAAAGGAAAAATAAAGAAAGAAAGAAAAAAACACTGACAGAAAAAGCACACGTCCAATGTTAACAGTCAAAAATAGAGACTACATCAACATTTGTTTACTGAAGGCACTGAACAATGTTCTTATCAAATGCACTATCCCTGGTAACATGTACAAAACAAGGAACTGCTTAATCAAGACATTTCTTAAGGATGTAATATTCTAGAAACATACCTTTTGAAGCATAGCAGTAGTCTCTTCTATGAAATAATAGCATATTTTCTGGGCTATATCCAAACTTGTCTTCTCATTCGTATCTGAAATTACTTCCCCAAGAAGTACTTTTCTCCAGCACATACTAGAACCGAAATGTTCCATGACACAATTTTAGCAGACTCTCGAAAAACAGACTTTTACATTTCAATGCAACAAATAAACTCCTTCTATTTCTCCAGAAGCATAAATACAACTCATTCCATAAGCAGATTCCACAAGGACCCATGTCACTTGCAGTCCCTGCGTGGAAGCCAACCAGGTAGTAAGAACGGAGGAGGAGGAGCTGAGAATAAAAAGCACGGGGGGTGGGTGCCTTTTGCAGGCAAGAACTGAATGTTATCATCATCACAAACCTGCGTCTGACACGAGTGAATGAAGTCCTGTCCCTGGCTATGGGAACGACGCAAGAGACAGAACAGGAAGGGAGTCTACAGCCAAGAGGCAGAGGACTAAGGAGCAAATGTAGGAGTTTTCCTTCTCTTCAAGTGACAGTCTGTCCAAAACAGTAGCAAACTGAACACATTTCACAAAGCCAAATGCTCTGCGTCTGGAAGGAGGAATCTACAGCCAAGCCCTCTCTCCATGCAGGTCATTCCAATGCTCTACTACAAAGGCTCCAGGAAATGGGGCTCAGCTGGCAGGCAGGACCCACTCTGGTGGGTCTGTTGTGGTAGGTGCGAGGGAGCCACAGCAGGATGCGGAGCAGAGATGGCAGCACCAGATGTAGACACCAGGAATAAGAACTATTGGGAGAAAGAGGATGGAGGGCCGGATTCTGAACACTCAGAATCTGGCAGTGGAAGTGGCTTCAACAGGAAGGAACAACGGCTGCCATGGAAGTAAACAGGAGCCCATTAGAATTCAGAACAGCTGGCAAGACACAGGACAGAATAGACTCAGAAGTCTTCAGTTTTAGAGATGACAGGTGAAAAGCTCAGGAAATCGATGAGTTCTCAGGAAAGAAAAAAGGAAAGTACTGAGTGTCAGGCACAGTGTTCGTGAATAACCATTATCTAATTTACTCTCCACAATTACCTAGCAAAGAAAGCACAATTGTCCCCACATTAGACTCAAAGCAATAGAATCAGGAAAGTTGGAGAACTCACCCTAAGTGACAGAGCCAATGAGAGACAGAAAAAAACTGCAAACATGTCTGTACCAGGCAGAGCCCCAAACATGCTTTTCTGCCATCCCACTCAGTAAGCAGCAACTCAAATAACTCAAACGGAAGGAAGGAGGCCTAAAGAAGACCTCTGGGAAACAACCAGTTGTATTTAATTTTAGGCTGAAGTGTCTGAAAAGGACTCATACCTTGTTGCAAGAAGTATTTAAAGAAGCTTACATGAATACACACAAAATAAAAGGTAAGATGAGTAATGGCTGACAGCAAGACAAAAGAAGATGAGAGGAGAAAAGCCAAGACACAGCAGGAACGGGTCAGTGAGAAACCACACGCCTTCACATCCGGTACGTTTGGATGGACTTCAGATCTGCCTCTCAGTTTTCCAGTGAACAATAAAAAGAAGGAAACATCAGTTAAAGAAATCATAGGATCTGTAAGATAAAAACACTCCATTTGCTAAAAATAAAAACAAAAACTATGGTATGGAGATGAGGGAGAAATTTTCCTCCAAAAGTTCCTAGAGAAAAAGAAGGAAGCAGCATCATCTCATCCAGAAGAAGAGCAGGCATCACTGCAGGGGCACCGACTGCTCCAGGCACTGCTTCTGGGCCTCATCTCAGCCAGTCCTCCCAACCGCTCAAGGACAGGCTGCACCATCTTCAAGTTCTCCCTGTATATCTAGCAGCAGAAGGCTGTAAGCGGCTCTCCCTGCCAGGGACTCTGGCTAAAGCTGCCCCTGCCCTGGGTCCCGCACAGCTGGATGTGCCGACAGGTGGCTAAGGGGAGCAGCACTGACAGCTGGGCAGGAGCATGAGGGACCCTGGCCAGGATGCATGCCCACACTGGGGGCTCCCCGACCCACCTCCCCCATGGAAAAGTCCAGGCCTCTCCTTCAGCGGGGCTTTGGGATCTGCCCCAGGGCCGGACTGTTGTTAGGAGCTCTTGCTCCCAGGAAGCTCTTGCTCCTACCTACTCTGAGACTTTCCTCTGAACAGTGCCAAAGCCCACACTTTTTAAAGGATTTCAGGTCATGAGGAGGAAAATATGAGTAGAAACTGAAAAATTCTCAGAACCATGTACTCTGATTGATTCTAAACCAGAATTCCAAAATGGTTAAAACTTAGAAATGAAACACTCACTACCTGGGCAAGTTACATAACGAAAAAGCCACTCCAATGCATGGCATTCCTTTTTCCTCCCTGGCTATCTGAATGCGAGCCAAAAACAAACAAACCCTCCAGAGTTATATCTAGACTGGTGCTGCAGCTTAAAACCAACACATGTGAAACTTACAATTTTTCAGCTTCCAGACTTAACAACTTAAGGGCTGTGAGTAACCTCCAAGATGGTCCATCCCATCCGAATGTCAAATTTCTGAAGTAGAAAAACAAATAATGACAAATCTGTCATTTCAGTATTTCATGGCCTCATAGCAACTGGCTGAAGAGCCAAACACCTTTTTAAAGGGGTTGCTAAATGTCATGTAACCTGCACTCATGGTCAAAGGACAAGAGAAAATCAGTCTGCAAATACTTAAGAAGAAAGCTTAAGTAACAGATAATTCTCTCCATTTTTTTTGAAGAGTAAATGGCTCTTTTCCAATAATTGTAGTAAGAAGCTTGAACGTGAATGAGGGACCTCAGGCAGGGCACACGCGCAGGAGTTCCCAGTGAGGGAAACGCTGAAGAACTGGAAGTACTCTGGGCATCATGCAGATGGCAGCCGCCACCACCAGGCTGCTCTCATACCATGGCTGGGTCTTTTAAAACTTAATTTCATTCAGAAAAGAAAATCCAAAAGGGAGAGCCTTGAACCCCGTTTAACCCACTTGGCATGGAATCACCCAGCTACCCACCTACCCCAAGATCCTGCATCATGTTGCTAGGTGCCTGGGCTCTCCTGAGGGCCAGCCTGGCCTTCCTACATGACCGCAGCATAGACAGACTCACCCTGGGCCACCCATCAGCACATCCAGGTTCTCTTTTGGTACCACAATTTAATATTTCCAGCTTGTACCTTATGTCCCTAAATAAGTTTCTTTCAAGTGTCTTACACTCCTTATGTCCTCTACAACATCAAGCACAGTTTTACTACACATAGTAAGTGCTTAATACCTACTCATCAGCTGATACAGGGTCAAGAGGTGTCTCACCCCTATGGAAACCTTAACCCCAGATATTCCATAAAAACTTCCTGAAGGAATAATTTTGAGAGGGAAAGAGAAACACTTACTCTATATAGCCATGATCCTTTAAGATGGAAATCTTTTTGTCCATTTGTTTATCTGCTGATGGAAGATATTTAACAAGTATTTCTAAATTTAAAAAAGAAAAAAACAGACTGAGAATTAGGGCGTAAATTTGGACAAAAGTATGTCTCCCTTCCCTTCACTTCCCTTCCCTTCAATTCACTTCCCTTCCCCTTAGCAATCCAGACATACAAAAACAGTTCAACCTAATTCACAATCCAGACATGCATAAACAGTTCAACCTAATTCACACAAGAGAAGTCTACTCTTCAAGTCCAATTCAGTCATATCAGTACTGAGTCCCTGAAAAGCTGTAAGAATTCCGAGTCTAGAGGACTAAGCACACACAACCTCAGCTCGTGCTCCCGCTAAGTAAATCCACCAAAAACAATCAGGTCATATGACATCAGCATGACTGTTGGAAAATTACAACCAGCAAAAGTAGAGGCTCTGCAAAACATGAGGAAAGCTTTACAATATTGAGCTTTTTCAAAACCAGAATCACAGCAGTCTGGACATTAGTGACTATAACTACAAAGCTTAAAGTAAAAATGTACAAATTAAGCTATCTGGAGAAACAGGGCACTGAGGGATTTTTCTATTTTATTTTTAAAAATGTAAAAATAACTAAAATATAATTTTTGCTCAAATTATTCAACAAATGAATATTCCATGGACACCAATATTAAATTTATCAGGACTTTGAAAACATGAGGCCAATCTCAAAGCTGGCTTTCCAGCAGCAAGACCCCGTTTTTTTCTTTTTTTTTTTTTTTTAAGAAATCACATTATTATTCTGCCTATGAAATAGAGTGGTATCAGCTTAACCAAGTTTCTATTTCCAACCAAACCTATATTAAAAATGCTTCAAATTATATATATAATAAATCCCTTGCCATTTTTTCATGGCCTAGAAAACTGCTTCGTTACTGTTTCAGAAAGGGGAAAAAAAAAATCATTCTTCTATGTACTTTTTTAACACTATACTTGGAATTTTCACACCCTAAGTTTAATGGTTAACTTACTATTTTAAAATAATAAAACCGGGCCAGCCAATGTGGCTCCTGCCTGTAATACCAACACTTTGGGAGGCCAAAGCACAGGGGATTTCTTGAGCACAGGAGTTCAAGACCAGCTTGGGCAACATAACAAGACATTGTCTCTATCATATGAAAAAACAAAAATTAAAAATAATAAAACCAGGCTAGGCACAGGGGCTCACTCATATAATCCTAGCACTTTAGGAGACTAAGGCAGGTAGATCACTTGAGGTCAGGAATTTAAGACTAGCCTGGCCAACATGGCGAAACCCCATCTCTACTAAAAATTCAAAAATTAGCCGGGCGTGGTGGTGTGTGCCTGTAATCCCAGCTATTCAGGAGGCTAAGGCACAAGAATCGCCTGAACCTGGGAGGCGGAGGTTGTGGTGAGCCAAGATCATGCCACTGCACTCCAGCCTGGGCAATAGAGTGAGACTCTGACTCAAAAATAATAAAACCAATGATGGTGACCTAGTTAAGGATCACAAAAGAACATACATGAAATCACATCTCATCACGGCATCAGCCTCCCGAAATAAGGACTATATAATACATAATATATATAATAGAGTTACCTTTGTGATTAGCACAGTGTCTTACCCACAGTAGGTGCTTAATAAATATTTTTTATTTATTGCTCCCTAATCCTATTCTGTCTTTAGTGACAGTGACAATGTTTCAGTACAACATTTCCATCCTTTAATATTGTATGTCGTTCCTTAGCAGTTTTCCTTTTCTTCCATTCTAACTTCTGACCCAATGCAATGAAAACTTCTCAATTCTTCTTATCCTAAACATCAATGAAAGCTTTGTTGTTTTTACTTCAACACTGAAACCACAGTCAGTAAGTGTGAGGCTAGGCCTACCTAGAGGAAAATTAGTGATGTCTATGTCAGTCTTAAGGTTTTGATATTTTTATGAAAACTGAAAACAAACATCTCCAAATGGGGGGAAAAATATATAGTGTTAATGTCAAAAACAAAGTTGATTCCAACCTCTCGGGACATAAACACAAGCATGAGGATTGTGTGCGGAAACAAATCCATATTCCAGGAACAGCCGTTGATTATCGTGAGGGCCGTAACAGATGAACACCTCTTCATGTTTTCTCCAACGTGAAGTCGTTCTAATTTCGTAACAGTGAGTTTCTTCATTAAATGCTGCTTTTACCTACAGAGAAAAATTGTTAAAGGTTTTTCTAAAGTAAGGTGTGAAACTACAAAGCAGATTAAGTTATTGCATAATATTAATGTGAGTCAGGTGCAGTTTTCAAACACTCATCAATAAATGTAACTCCGCCTAGGGAAGATGCCACTTCAGTTTCACCCACCCTGACTTCACCCCACTGGTGAGGGAGGGAGTCCCACCCAAGGATGGCCACACCCGATACCCCACACAGCACAGATGAGATTGCCAGTTTACTGGCCACATCCACTCAGACCCAGGGAAAGAGGACATGGCGGTGCCAATAAACGTCATCTGTGAAAAGCTGGAGAGTAAATAGGTTTGGCTTTGCCAGCCCTAGTAGTCTCTGTCCAAGTTGTTGTATTTTTACATCCTTTAAAACTGTAAAAACCACTCTTGGCTCAGGGCTCTCGGGCCACATGCCCACAGGCTGTAGTCTGTGGTGTGCTCTTATTACAGTAGACTATCAAATCATTGGTTTGGCACATAAATGTACAATGGCCCCATTAAAAATAAAGTCACTGTGCTGGGGACTAAGGACTCCCCATATCTAGCATCCTATTGCTCTACATGCCCCTGATATCATTTCATCAACATCAACCACAGAAACACTCATCCAATCCCAGCCCCCTTTGCTCTGATTGTTAGAGACATTTCTTTCTATAAAAGTAATAAGCAGACAGGCCCAGGGCTTGTTCCTGGGCTAAGAAAGCAGAGCAGGAACCTCGCTAAGCTCTGCTCTCACGTGGAGAGCACATGAGCTGGCACCTGGCTCACAAGGCCATCACTGCTCTTCTCTTAGTGGAACGTCACGTGAAGGCGACAGCCAGGACACAGATCCCAGACATGACCCTCCACAGCATACCCCAAATGGGTTACAGGTGAGCTGACTGATGGACTCTTCTCTGCTCTCCAAGCCAGGCCCCTACCCACGCATGCCCTGCAAATACACTCGTTTCCTAAAAGAGCCACCCAGGAAAAAGGCAGGGGAAGAAGTGACCGATGACCACCTCCCTAATCAGGTTTCTTTCATTATTTCCCAGAACACTTTCCCCACAAATACCCATCCATTCAATAAACATTTACTCAACACCTGCTATGTGCCAGGCCCTGCCATGAGCACAGGAGTAACAAAGAGGAACAAGACAAAGACCCCATTCGCAAAGATTTCAGAGCTCAGTGGGAAAAAGAACAAGTCAGTCAGCGATCAAATCAAAGATAAATGCTGTGACAGCTATGCCACCAAGTTTAAAAGGGACGGGGCAGGAAACCAAGCTGGGCTTCAGTCTCAGTCTGGAAGGAGGAACGGGGGAGAACAAAGAAGGAATTTCCCACAGGCTGCTGGGAAAGACTGAACAGGGGCGCAGCCCGAGGCTCTGGAGGCCTGAAGAGCAGAGTGGAGAAATGGGCAGGGAAAGCACTGTAGGAGGGACAGTGGGGTCTGGAAGAACAACTGGAGCACTCCTGATGGCAGGCAAACCCAGCCCAGTCACCTGAAGCTGCCGCCACCTCTTCCTGTGGTGTCACCCATCATCTGCAGTGACAGGTTCTAGGCAGTGGAAGCCTTCCTATCCAAATAGAACAGCTGCTCCCTTGTCAGCTTCTCACCTGGACATGTGGGCTATGATTCAGCAGGTCCAGGTACGGAGCAAGTGCACAGGTGTCCGGCTCTGCAGAGAGGCATTCCCGCTGCCTGGGCCTCAGGTACACGGCTCTGGTGTTGACAGTGCACCAAGCCCACAGCAGGGCACTGTAGCTGAAGATGCTGTCAACAGCCTCAGCAAACAGAGGCTGCAGAGAAGAGAAAAAGTCTCTGGAGGAAGCAAAGAACTCCTGCACATGGGCTCTCTGCTCTTCAGCCTTTGCTTTTAAAGATTTGGGAAGAAGGTTCACCACTTCCGGCTCCAAACAAACAGGGCAGGTATAGGCCTTGGGTAAAATCTCCAGGTAAGGCTTCCAAAGAGATCGGTCCCCAGCATGCTTTTCTGAAACTAAAAAGGTGCACAGAGCCAGCAGAGGAGATGGAGGAGGCTTCCACCTTTGAAAATTAAAAACCGGTTTAAAGGAGTTACTTTGATTCAAAATACGAAATAAGCTAAGCAGTTGGTTTTGCTGCCAAAAGGAATGTGTTCAAACTGTCAACATGCTCAGTTTACTTAACAGACTCAAAAGACTTCCTTCCTTCCTTAAGGCTCTTCCTCTCTGGTGGAGCACAACCCCAATGCTAGCACTCTGAAAGAGCCATATTTACCCGTCAGAAAAACTAACTCACTAAGCCAAGTTCCAGGTTTGTTGCAAGAAATTCCCCTTTGCAAAAAAACCTCTTTGCTTCCAACTTGGTTCTCCAGTTGTAAAGCTTCTGACCTAAGTCCATTGGTCTCACCTGAATAAAGATATAAAATGATGGGAAGAACTGAGACCTGCACCTCTGTACACAGAGCTAATTTAAATTCTTTAGAATTAAATAATATTTAAAATTCAGTCCCTCAGTGAGATAAGCTATGTTTTAAGCATGCAACAGCCATTCGGAGCTAGTGGCTACCATACTGGACAATGCAGAAAAAACATCTCTGTCACTGCTGAAAGTTCTATGGGACGGCACTAACCTAGACCAAACCTGACTATGCTCATATACACTCGCTGCAGCTCTAAAGCTTTTATTCCTAAGTTTACCTGCTCTATTACAAGTTATATATCACAGTATTTTTGTTTTGCATAATGCCAGTAAAAAGATCTCATGTTGCCTAAATGTATTTAGAAAACATTTTCATCAACACTTCAATGTCCAGATTCCTATACTGCCATACATTCTACTCAAAATTTCAGAATGATTTAGAAAGTGTTATTATGACAGCATCCTTGCCTGACACAGGCCTAAAGACCTATTCACCTTCTTGCAAAAACATGCCAGGCAGAAAAGAACTTACCTAAGGGTTAAGAAACAGTAGAGGCCAGGCACAGAGGCTCTTTGCCTATATCTCAGCACTTTGTGAGGCTAAGGCGGGCAGATCACTTGGAGCCAGGAGTTTGAGACCAGCCTGGTCAACAGGGTGAAACCCTGTCTCTACTAAAAATGCAAAAATTAGGTTTGGTGGGGCATGCCTGTAATCACAACTACTCAGGAGGCTGAGGCATGAGAATTACTTGAACCTGGGAGGTGGAAGTTGCAGGGAGCCAAGATCACGCCACTGCACTCCAGTCTGGGTGACAGGATAAGACCCTGTCTCAAAAAAAAAAAAAAAAGACAGAAAAAGAAAGAAAGAAACAGCATCCTCTTTCAACCCTCATAATTTAGAAACCCCTTCCACTGAGGGTCTCTCTCACTCTGTCCTCAAAATGCCCCAAACAAAGGCCCAGCAGAACCAGAAGACAACTCCCACATCAGCCTCCTCTCTTCTGTACCTAAATAAAACTAATTCTTTCATCATGTCAACAGCCCTTCAGAGTTAAAGCAAAACTGAAGTACAGTAAGGGTAGAAATAAGAGACAGTAATATAAATTTGTCAAGAGCTACTATGATGGAAGAAAACAGGCTTACTGAAAGCTGAGGCACTCTGACTTACATATGTTATCCCATTTAATCTTTATTTCTTAGTAAGTGATGGATCAGGACTCATACCCACACCCCAGGAAGCCTATTGAAAACCTTAAAAATATGGTTTACAGTGAATTAAGAAGAAACTTTCTAGAAAAGCATAAACTTTTCAAATCATTTCAGGTATTTATCAGCTCTACAAGGGACTGGGTCCTAATGAATTCCGTTTCAAATGACATATTTGCCAGTGACAGACTTTAAGGAGCAGCACTCGCAGCAGGTAAGCATGCATGTGGTCACTTACTTAGTAATGTACGCCCCTAGGTAGCTTCGAATCACTGTGTCAGTGGTGAGCAGGCAACTCTCTGGCAATGAAATAATCATCTGTCCCTCCTGGTCAAAAGGAAAGTAAAGTTGAGGATGCCTGTGCTTTGGGAAGGACCCATAAGTATGAGTCTTATCAAGTGTTTGATCCCACATCACCTACCAAGAACCCACTCTAACTCAACCAGAAGCCACCAATGAGCCCACCAATGGAGGAGCTCCCAACTCCGAAAGTCAGCAGATGCACACGAGGCTGCTCCAATGCCAGATCCCACAACCCCAATAAACATTAAAGGTTCAGTATGTGACTGACACCCACAAGCAGTCAACCCCTCACCAAACAGAGTGCTGGAAACACTTTAACAATTCAAATTATACTGTTTCTTCGCTTTCTTATGCCAGGAAATAGTGCTACCAACAGGAAACAGACAGAAACTACCCCAAAAAAAATTGTATCCAGTGAAATCCAAGTGGCCAGGCAATGATCTGCTCTCTACATAACCCACACCTATTGCCCTGCCCAACACAATAAGGATCGAATTCTACCACTTGCAAAAGTATCATTTTCAGTGTCTCCTGAGATAGAACCATAGAAAGAACAATTAGATGTAAAGTAATAGAAAACAAGTTTAAATAAAACATAGCACTAAGAAGTTAGATATAAGATTCTCCTTTAATTTTAACTGGCATCTAAGTTGGTTAAAAATCTCAGCCAAGGCCAGGCACAGTGGTTCATGACTGTAATCCCAGCACTTTGGGAGGTCAAAGCGGTTGGATCATCTGAGGTCAGGAGTTCAAGACCAGCCTCGCCAACTCCTGTTGGTGAAACCTGTCTCTACTAAAACTACAAAAATTAGCTGGGTGGGGCAGTGGGTGCCTGTAATGCTAGCCACTCGGGAGGCTGAGGCAGGAGAATCGCTTGAACCCAGGAAGCAGAGGTTGCAGTGAGCCGAGATGGCGCCACTGCACTCTAGCCTGGGCAACAGAGCAAGGCTCAGCCTCAAAACAAAAAAATCTCAGCCAAAAAATCTTCTGGGATCAATTTCTGCTTTCCTCATCTGTAAAGCAAGATTAAGCTGGATGATCACCATAGTTACTTCCCATTCCAACATCCTACAATGTTCCGGTTTGAAAATACTCAGGTAAATCTCTTTATCATCAAAGTGCAAACTGCACACTACACTGTGCATTTCACTATATGTAAAATATGTCTCAATTTTCAAAAAGTTTTGACAAAACAACTGCATTTGAATGTACATGTAAAACAATTGTTTCACGATCTAAACAAAAACTACCTACAGTTACTGCTACCTGACATTTCTCATCCCCAAACTCTGCTACGGAATAAAATACACCTTCCTCCAAAAATAAAAATATTGCACAACAATATGAATGTACTTGAGCTTCAAAATGGTTAAGATAGTAAGTTTTATGTTACATATATTTTACCACAATTAAAATGTTTAAATGATGAAAACATTAACACAGTGTAACAGAATCACAACATTAAAAGATACCATTCTTTAGACATTGGACTTCTTGTGTTTGTGATTTTCACCTGTTTAGGAAACATAACCCGAATTCCCTTGCTGACTGTGCTTGCATTTTAAAAAAATTATACTTTCTTTTAATATTTTAAAAACTTATATTTTTAACACAACATTTTCAACAATTAAAATTATTTTTGGGCCAGGCACAGTGGCTCACGCTTGTAATCCCGAGGTGAGCAGATCACATGAGGTCAGAAGTTCAAAACCAGCCTAGCCGAGGCAGTGACACCCTGTCTCTACTAAAAATACAAAAAAATTAGCTAGGCATGGTGGTGCATGCCTGTAATCTCAGCTACTCAGGAAGCTGATGCAAGAGAATCACTTGAACCCAGGAGACGGAAGTTGCAGGGAACTGAAATCACGCCGCTGCATTCCAGCCTGGGCGACACAGCAAGACTCTATGTCTCAAAAAAAAAAAAAAATTATTTTTTATCTACTTAAAAAAAAAAAAAAGACACCATTCCTTAGGCAAAACATATGTACACATGTGAGTGAACGTTTTAAATAAAGAATTAAAAATAATTTTTAAATAAAAGAAGAAATTAACTTCTAGCTTTACATAAAATTGTGTATTACAGATCCTTTAAAATAGCATTGGGAGAATGAAAAGAAACCTTGGAGATCCTCATTTACTTCCTCATTTTGTAGGTGAAGGATGAGAGGTCTCATGCTAGGGCCCCCAGGCAGCTGAAGGCAGGCAGCTAAAGGCAACTGGGGCCCAAGCCTGAGGTCTCGCCCTCCCCAACTCTGGCTTCTACCTGCCACACCATGGCTGCCTCACAAACAGCAGCAGCTCCCTTTGCACACTGAAAATATGATCTGACATGTAACATGTGTTGTGGCAGAGACTGCTGGCTGCCTATCCCAACATCCCTTCTCTCCCCTTCCTCACTAACAGAATCCTACTTAGAGAGCACACAGCTGGGGAAAGGCCAGCACATCTCTCCTCCCTTGCAGCTGGCCAGGGCTGTGTACCTAATCGATATCCAAGGACGTAGGGAAGGGACTTTCCTTAAAGGGAGGAGGCCTGCCCTTCCTCACCCCCTTGCTCTCTCCTGCTGCTCAGGTTCCAAGACCCACACCCTGATCTGCAGGTGCAGTTCCCTTAAGGACATAAGAGAGCTGGAAGGAGCTGGGGCCTTTGCTGGCCAGAGGACTGTCCCACCAGACCGGGTCAGCCCACCCCAAGCTTGTTTCTCCGGGTGAGAACAGAATAAATTTCCATGCTGCTTACGTACCTCAGCTTTGGGCTTGTCTTTTATTGCAACAAACTTAATCCTGGTTGATAGAACCATATTCAAACATATCTATTAGGTAAGTAAGAAATGACTGTATGTCTGAAATATTTTTAATCCACTTTGTTTGAACCACAAAAACAAAGCAGCAAAATCTACATTGGGTTTCAAGGATAAAAGAAAAGTTCTCACCTGCAGGGATGTTTGGCTCATCAGCCCTCTTCCTGTACCTAGGAAAGCAAAGAAAGAAAAACAAATAAATCCCACTATCCCTTCAAGGTCCTAGAGATACCATTACGGGAAAAAAAAAAAAATGTGAACCTCAAAATTACACAAGGCTGAAGCTGGATGTCTCTCAGCCTTTAATTCCCAGGGAAAACAGGGAGTCAGAAATGCCCTGACCTCCAGTGAGGTATAATCCTTGAAGGGCAGAGTCAGCTTCAGAGGTGAGACCTAAAGACCACCATGGACTTTATACAGATCTACTGCTGGGCCTCTTGCAGGAAGCTTTGAGCTGAACTTTCTCCCCTGGGGCCTACCAGCTAATGAGGGGCGACTCCCAACGCCCAGCCAACCTCTGAAGCTAGAGCCCCAGGCTCTTATCCCCATTGCCAGACTCAGCTCTCCAGAGTAAAGACCTGAGACCCCTCTGATTGTCCGGCTAGCCACTAAACCCCACTCAAGTCCCCACAAAGACTGCAGACATCCCCCCCCCCCATCAGGTAACCCATGAGATAGGCTCTGCAGGACCTGTTGAGCTCAGCCGGGTAAGTCAGATCCAGCTGTTCCCTGTGAGCCAAGGTTCTGGCTGGAGCACAGTCACCATAGTAACCTCAGCAGCTGGATTAATGTCCCACCAACTTCCAGAAGTTTCTCCCTCCATGCCTAAGCTTCTGTTCCTGGAACAGGCAGATGAACATTGAAAAGATGCTCAGATGACAGCTTTCTGGCAGGCACAGGGATTATATGACCATATGAGGCCTAGAGTAGTCATGCCTCCAATTCATCATTCTTCACTTTTCCTCTCTTAGCTGGGAGGAAAAATAATTCAGCCAAGTCAATACAGGACTACTGGGAGCTCCTGGCTCAAGGTGGGAATTCCTGCCTCAAGTCTCCCATCAGTTTCCCGGCAAGTTGGATTTGATGAGTCCCAATTTATCTCCCCTCCCAGGAGGACACTGTCTGCTCATACAGTTGGTTCTGGTGTTAAGAACTAATTTTACTGATTTTGTGCACCCCATCATGGAGTTAATCATTCCTGTGGGCCAGAACTCCTCCTAGAATCAATTACTAACAGGAGGATTTTCTTCTACATGGTTATCCTTCCAAAAACTTACGTACTAATAAGTGAAAATTTCTCTCTAAACATAAATATGAACAAAACCTGGCCTCTGGAATACATCTAGAAGATCTTTTACCTATATTTCTATGAAAGATAGTGTTTAATATCAAAAAACATATAGTAATCTACACTAACTTTCATTTTTATATTGGATATCCTAGGCAAAGTAGAAGTGGCCATTAGGAGCTCATAACAGTAAAGCTTATTTACAAACGTCCTAAAGCCTCAAAATTCCCACTGTCATAAATCTACATGGGAGGCCCAGATCTGGCTAGCGCTTTTGGTGGTGAAAGGAAATGCTGTCAGTTCCCAAGGCAGAAAAGAAGGGAGAGTCTACAGATGAAATCCCGCATAGGAGATTTCCTGTACCCCTCCACAAACTAAGATTAAGTCCCGGAATTTTGTACATTTTGACAGAAGCCCAAAAATGTTACCTCCTATCATACACTGACTAAGAGCTAAAAAATATATGAAGGTTCCATATACAGAAGGTTCCCTGACCCCAGAACCGTAAGCACTGGCTCGGATCACTGCCAAATCACTGCACTTTAGCACCTGTGTGGCCCTGAATCTGGGGTTGGGGCCAGGGCAGATCGTTCTCACTTTTAAAAATGGGAACTCTTTACTGCTCCAAATTATAGACAGATGGACCTATTCTCAGGTATTCCATCTAAACCATTTGCTGATTCCTACTTGATTATTGTAAACCCATCCTTCTTAGGGCAAATGACACCTGAGAAGTGGGCAGGCCTTAGACATGGCAAGTCTACTGCTGACACTACTAACTCTCTTGTTCGTCTGGGGAAGAACTCCATTCAGTAACATCTAAGAGTGTGGCTTTTACTGATCATCTTTGACACATAAAAATAGTAAGTCAAGCATTACGCTAGAGGATGACAATATGGTTCATGACCATCAACTAGAAGGAGCTTTAGAAAATGGCTCAAATCAAGCATTTTAGTTCAAAGTCATCATGTGTAACTGACTCATGGAGAACAACTTTACACACATCCCCTCACTCAGCAAGGGGCACACATGGGAAATCATTTGCCTAAGCGGGGGTACATGAGGAAGTTAATTTGCTCAAAGTTCAATTATCTAATGGGTACCTGAGTAATAATTCTAACTGCCAAGGAAAGCATTCTGTGGCATGCTTTAACTTTTCTATAAGGTGAAATGTCAACAGCTTGCCCTATGATGTAGAACTTTGGGGCTCTAATTACCCCATTACCTCTGTGCTATAGCAGACTCCAAATCCTTTTAAAGAGCATCTTGGTCCTCCCTGTGGCTATCTCCTGCCCACCTGTGGGAAGAGTGGAGTGGCCATCTATGCAGACGCACACCCACAGCAAGCTGTCCAACTTCTGTGAGAGAATGTTCCAGAAGAAAATGCTTTTTGTTTGGTTTTTGTTAGTTTTTTGAAACGACGTCTCACCCTATCGCCCAAGCTGGAGTGCAGGGGCGTCATCATGGCTCTCTGCAGCCTCAACTTCCCAGGCTCAAGCAATCGTCCCGGCTCAGCCTCTAGAGTACCTGGGACTACAGGGGCATACCAGCATGCCTGGCTAATTTTTGTATTTTTAATAGAGACAGGATTTCGTCATGTTGGCCAGGGTGGTCTCAAACTCCTGAGCTCAAGTGATCCACCTGCCTCAGCCTCCCAAAGTGCTGGATTACAGACGTGAGCCACTGCACCTGGTAAAACATTAACCTAACCTCCATAATAAGTGCAAGTTCCAGAAGAGAATGTCAGTCTACCTCAGCTCAGTGCTGAAGCCCACTGCTCTGCAATTAAATGGCCACACATGAGGGGCTCCTCCTCCAACCCAAGGGAAGCACAGCTATAAACCAGCTGAAGGGCAGTATCTGCTGATGCCAGCTGCAAGAGTTGCCCCTGCTGTCTACCTGGCCGTCATGTAGGAAAGGGCAGGACGGCTGAAGGACAGATCTTACCTGGAAAACGAGCAGGCACTAAGTTCGAATCTTGAAACTTCCTATCTTTCAGCCACTTCCTTAGCTCTATAAATTCAGACTTGTAGCTCTCATTCACTATCAGGCAAGGAGAGAACAAACGGTGATTAAAACCACTACATAATTGGATCTGTCTTTTAACAGAACATGTCTGATGAACTGTATAGACAGACTTACAGAATGGTAAGCACTGTCGTATCTAACCATAGACAAGGTACAATACAAATACAGTATTGGCCAGGTACAGTGGCTCACATCTGTATTCCCAGCATTTGGGAGGCCAAGGCAGGAGGATTGCTTGAGGCCAGGAGTTTGAGACCAGCCTGGCCAACATAGAAAGACTCCATCTCTAAAAAAAGAAAAAAGAAAAATACAGTATTATAACTGATAGGACCACCACTGTATATGTAATCCATCAACCAAAACATCCTTATGCAACATATGACTATATTCATTCGATGTAATCCTAATCAAAATTCAAGCAGGCTTTTGTATAGGAATTAACAAGCTGATCCCAAAAATCATATGGAAATACAGAAAGCCTAGAATAGCCACAATGTCTTTGAAAGACTGATTTTAAAACTTACTATAAAGCTAGAGGAATCAAATTAGTGTGACATTGTCAACACAGACAAATAGGTCAGTGGAACAGGACAGAAAATAGGAAGAGACCCACACATAAATGACAACTGATTTTTGAAAAGGTGCAAAGGCAATTCAGTGGAAAAAGGCAGTCTCTTTAATAAATGATGATCAAACAACTATTGATCTCCATAAGCAAAAAAAAAAAAAAAGGCAGGGGAACTTATCCATATCCTGTACCATATCCAGTTGCATTTACATAGGACTTTCCAGATGGCTAAGCACTTTTGTACTGAACAAGATACAATCTTCTTCAGATTGGGTTACCTTGAATTCGAAATGATAAATTTATATCCAAACATTGCTATCCTACAGGTAGCTAGAGGTCAAGACCAGAAAAAGAAACTTGGAAGTCATTCCCAGAGAAGACAGTTGAAAACAGTGAGTTAGATATCTTCACATTCCCACCAGGATCTAAAAAAATTCAAGGGCACCATTCAAAAGATTGCTATTTAAGAAATATTGTCTTTGGGCTGGGCACGGTGGCTCACGCCTGTAATCAATGCTTTGGGAGGCCACAGCAGAGGACCACTTGAGCCCAGGAGTTCAAGACCAGTCTGGGCAACATAGTGAGACCCTGTGGCAAAAAAAAATTTTAGAAAACAGTAGCCAGGTGCAGTAGTATGTACCTGTAATCCCAGGTACTTGGGAGGCTGAGGCAGGAAGGAGACTAAGCCAGGAGGATCACTTGAGCCTGGAGTTCAAGGCTGTAGAGAGCCATGATCACACCACTGCACTCCAAGAAAGATTCTCTTTGAACACTGTGTGCCTTTAAGAAAAGCTATGTGTTAGGCTGGGCACAGTGGCTCATGCCTGTAATCCCAGCACTTTGGGAGGCCAAGGCAGGAAGATCACCTGAGGTCAGGAGTTCAAGACCAGACTGGCCAACATGGTGAACTCCTATATCTAGGTTTTCAAATCAAATTTTCGAAATTTGAAATTTTTGAATTTTTGTTAGGATTAACAAATTTTAATCCTAACAAAAATTAGCTGGGCGTGGTGGTGCATACCCGTAGTCCCAGCTACTTCGGAGGTTGAGGCAGGAGAATCACTTGAACCAGAGAAGCGGAGGTTGCAGCGAGCAGAAATCGCGCCACTGCACTTCAGCCTGGGCAACAGAGCAAGACTCAGTCCAAAAAAAAAAAGCTATGTGTATGAACAAACAAGCAATCACAAACGGATTTCTTTTTTCATCACTGGCACTAAAAGAAAAACTGTACCTCCTCTTGATTCAGAACTCCTGCAGAGTTTTCGTCTTCTGATGCGGCTTGTTCTCCCTTTTCCTTTCTGCATGCTAAAACTGTAGTTTCTTCTTTCGGAAACACAGCTCTATTTCTTAAAAAAGGATAAAACTGTAACTTCTGCGGAGATGCTCAATCTAAAATAAAAACCTTTGTTTTTCCAGTTATATGATTATCACTGTTCTTTGTACCTTTAAGTAAACAACTATGTACTTTGGTGTACTGATTCTCTCAAGCGTTTTTCTACATAAAAGGTTTATACTGTGAGCTAAATCATGATCCCTACAGTAACAGAATTCCCATTATATCAGCCCCTCTAAAACAGTTTAATCTTCGGCCCTAGTAACTACAGCTTAATCTACTAAAAATAAAACAAAAAATTAGCTGGGCGTGGTGGCACGCTCCTGTAATCCCAGCTACTCAGGAGGCTGCGGGAGGAGAATCACTTGAACCCAGGAGGTAGTGGCTGCAGTGAGCCAAGATCGCGCCACTGTACTCCAGCCTGGGCGACAGAGGGAGACTATATCTCAAAAATAAATAAATAAAAATGAAATAAATCTACTCGTAAAACATAAGAGGGCAGAAATGAGTTAAGAGACAAGAACTCCAGGCAGTATTAAAACCGCACTTCGGCAGTTTAAGCAAGGTTCATTATTTGACTTATTGAAAGTCGGCGAGTCCAGCTCCGGAGGCAATCGCACCTAGCGCGGTCCGGGGCCCAGCGCTCTGTCCACAGACCGCGCCGGGAAGTTCCAAGATTTCCGGGCCCTCGAGAGAGCTGTCCACTAACACGCTGCTGAGAACCACGTGGAGACCGGTGACTGCCACAGACACGGGCACGGTCCTCGCCCCCATAGTCAAACGCTAGCCTCGAGGCCGCCCTACAGTCCGACACACACCGCTCCCGCCGCCACAAGCCAGCCAGGCGGGCATCGGATCCCCGGGCCGCAGGCTCCCTAGCGTTCCGCAGCGCCTTGGAGCAATATGCGCTAAGTGAACGATTCCACACGATGAGAGGTTACTGCAGCGCACACGATAATGCCCGCCATGGAAGGGACCTGCGACCTGAAGTCAGTTCTTTTTACGCTAATGGATGAAAGACTAACGAACGCTACAGGGGAACTCTGCTCCGGCTACCCCGGCAACTAGAGGCCCGACCCGGAAGTCCTACCAGCTTACCTAGGCGCCGGCGACCGCCTCCAAGATGGCGGCTGCAGTGGGCGGGTCCAAGGCACGTGGAAACACCAAACAGCCCCAAATGAACGCAAGTTAAAGGTACGGGCCAGAGTCGCAGAGGGAGAGGCTGAAGGCTGTCGCAACTGCCTCGCGTCCTTAAGCAATCCAAGTCGTCAGTCTACCGGGTCCGCCTCTCCCCTCGCGGGCTGCTGCTTCCGGCTCGCGCATGCGCAGTTTCCCTGACTCGCCGCCCATGCCCAATCCAGGCAGGTTCGAGGTGCGCGCCCGGAAACGCCCATAACCCCTACGTCTAGTCAGAGGTCGGAAACCTCAGTGACCGGTGGGCGGGCAAGCTGCGCTCTGAAGAGTCGGCCTGCGGAGTCTTCTCTTACGGAGTTAAACTACCTAGGGCGCGCGGCTCTTTCCGACCCGCCCTCGATCTTTCCTACTAGGCTGACTTTGCCGGGTCCAGTCCCTTCGATTGCCAGTCCCCGCCCCGCTTCCATCGTTTCAGTCCAGTCCCTGGACCCGCCTCACAGGAAAATTCTAAATAATATCTCTAAATACCCGTTTCTTCCAAGAGCAGGAGCTGTTTCTGCCCCACCCACCCGCATGTTGATTATGGGCTACGACTAGTGACTTGTTTCCAAAGAGTACAGTGTGGAAAGGTGCTTGGGGGTACAGTGGAGAAACCGGGCAAACAGTACCTTGCCCGGTGGTCAAGGATAACGCCATCAGGAAGAAGTCATACGGATTGTATGTTCCTGTCCAAAACCCATAACCCTACTTCTTCCATTAAAAAAAAAAAGGTACTCCTAAAACATGTTTTCTGTCATGAAAAACAAGTACAGTCGTCCCTTAGTGGCAGTGGGGGAATGGTTCCAGGACCCTGCGGATACCAGAATTAGAATGTGCAAGTCCCTTATATACAATGATGGTGTCAACCTAAGTAACAAAAGAGGCTCCCTAAAAGAAAATATATTTGTCTGGGAGAGCATTGCAATGGGAATATGCTGCCATAGTAAACTATGTGCGTTTTGGGGGAGGTTGAGGCAAAGAGATGTTTTTAAAAGGAAAATTAAGATTACATGAATTGCTTTAAATCAGTTATCCTTGGCTGCAGGGATCAATAACAAGGGTAGCAGTCTAAAGTTGCTGGACAGATGTCTGCAGAAGTATCTTCTATGTAAGATTGGGCCTTTATGCAAGGTTATGGTTTTTGCGGAGTCTTTTGTGAGGCATAGTGCTTGAGAACCCTTCCTTCAAGGCCTTCCCCAGCTCCATTTATCACGGTTTTGACGAAGTGACTCCATTTTGATTCTGACAGCTTTCAAAATGGAGTAATAGTTGCATATAACGTATGCACATCCTCCCATATACTTTAAATCATCTCTAGATTTTTTATAATACGTAATACAATGTAAATGCTATGTAAATACTTGTTATATGTATAATTTGTATTTTTTGCTTTTATATTGTTAATTATTTTATTTTAAATTTTCCCTCCTTCATTGGTGGAATCCCCAGATGCAGAACATGAGGATACAGAGGGCCAGCTGTAAACTCTGACAAGCTGTCACAAACCAGAGGAAACTAGAGAGCTGTGACAACTAAATGCAGTGTGGGACACTGAAGAGGATCCTGGAATAGAAGGGTACGTTAGGAGGAAAGGTAGCGAAATCCAAATAAAGCATGGAGCTTAGTTAGTAGTACTGTTACAATCGTGGTTTCCAGTTGTGACAAATGTACCACAGGAGTAAGATGATTTGTGGAGAAACTGGGTGAGAGATACACAGGAATTCTCTGTACTACATTTGCAACTTTTCAGTAAATCAAACTATTCTGAAATTTAAAGTTTATTTTTTAAAAAGGGGCAGGGGGCTAGAAATAGATGTATCCAGATTTGGAATTGTTAAAAGATAAATTTTGGTATATTAAAATGTTAAAGTGGCCGGGCGCGGTGGCTCACACCTGTAATCACAACACTTTGGGAGGCTAAGGGGGGCAGATCACCTGAGGTGGGGAGTTCAAGACAAGCCTGACCAACATGGAGAAACCTCATCTCTACGAAAAATACAAAATTAGCTGGGCATGGTGGCACATGCCTGTAATCCCAGCTACTCGGGAGGCTGAGGCAGGAGAATTGCTTGAACCCAGGAAGTGGAGGTCACAGTGAGCCAAGATCGTGCCATTGCACTCCAGCCTGGGCAACAGGAATGAAACTCCATCTCAAAAAAAAAAAAGAAAAAAAATAAAGTGCCGCCAGTTGTTGAAGCAATGGACCTTGTTAAAAGCAGAAAAGAAGAATTTTTTAATAGTGGCACCAGAGGAAGGCTTTTGTAGAGTTGATGTGCACATAGAGCAAGGAAACTATTTGATTAAAGTTTGATCAAGTACCTTATTTGAATTATTCCTATGGGAAGTTCAACACAATTCAACTAATGCCCAGTTGACCACTTGTGATTAGCTGAGCTTAAGTTTCATTTTCTTTTAAATTCTGAGTTAGGCTTTGGTTTGCTTATGTAGAAACCCATGGTATTAGAGCTACCTCAGTCTAATGGCCCCCTATTTAATTATTTTAACAGATCCATGTTTCCATGATGTCATCAAAGATCAACACTCTAAGTTTCCACATTATCATCCTTAAGAAGTTGGCTATTCACGTTTCTGTTTGTTTCCTCGTGGTCTCAAGGTAGATGCTGCAGCTCCAGGCATCACGCTCTCATACAATGGCATTCAAGACAGTTATGGAGACTTTCCTTTTATGAGGAAGGAAATGGAGACTTTCCTTTTATGAAGGAGGAAATAATACATACTCCCATTTTTTACATGACAGTTAACAAAGATTCTCTCCTTGACCAGTGAACTCCAGACACATTCCTCTGAGCACAAATCCTATTTAAACTACAGATTCTCAACACAAATGATTTTATCCACCCATGTCCCCCAACATTAAAAGACTTAAACAGTATCATAGTTTCACAGCTGTAAACTAAAGAAATCCTAAGCCCCTCCTGACTGAATGGAACCCCTTTTGCTCAAGAAGGCTCACAAAAAACACTTAAAAACTTAGTTCACAGCTAAGTTCCCTTCTGATGGGAGTTCAGATATGCCTCATTATACCATTAAACTCTCTCTCTTTTTTTTTTTTTTGACACAGAGTCTTGCTCTGTCGCCCAGGCTGGAGTGCAGTGGTGCAATTTCGGCTTACTACATCCTCCACCTCCCAGGTTCAAGCTATTCTCCTGCCTCAGCCTCCTGAGTAGCTGGAACTACAGGCACGTGCCACCACATCCAGCTAATTTTTTGTATTTTTAGTAAAGATGGGGTTTCACCATGTTGGCCAGGATAGTCTCGATCTCCTGACCTCGTGATCTGTCCACCTTGGCCTCCCATAGTACTGTCGTGAACCACTGTACCTGCCTATACCCTCTCTTACAGTTTAAACACAACTGGCCAGCATTGATGTTAAAACAGAGACCAGGAGACTGACAGAACAGACTCTTTGTGGCAATAAGATACAAAAATTATAAACAAGACCTAAGGCCATGCCAGGCAAGAGTTAAGTCACTCCAAGAATAAGTTCTGTTCTAATGGCTACAAGGCTTTTCTTTTTCTTTAGCAGCCAAACAAGCACTGGCCTCCCCATAAGCAATAGTAAAGCAGTTACCACCCATACACCACCAGACGCCATCTAACCAACCCGCTCTTCCACAATGACAAAGCAGGAGCATTGCCATTTTGGAAAAGCCCCTCATTCTAAAGTTCACCTTAATTAAAAAAAAAAAAAACACCTAAATCCAAAGGGCATCAGCCTAATGGCTAAGGCCAGCGTGACCATAAACCACAAATAACATCTCCAACCAGAAACATCCCAAACTCCTCCCCGACCAGAGACCTGCTAAACCCAAGATAAACCCCCCTCCAGCTGGGAAGATTCTAGCCCCGAGATAATTCCCCTCTGGGCTGGAAAGATGTCTGCCCCAAGATGCCTCCCTGCCTCCCAGAGAGATTCCAAACCACCGTAAATGTCTCCACGCACAAACATTCCAAGCTTGCTTGATAAGCCCCCTCACCCTAAAACCAATATATACTCTTAATCTGTAAGAGAAAGCACTCCTGACCAAAGTGGGCCAGGAGCTCCTCTCAGGTTTCATCTAAAGTAAATCTGTCTTCAACTGCCAGCGCATTTTGTGTTTCTTTCCTCTTTAACATTTTTTTTTTTTTTTTTTGAGTCCCAGACTGGAGTGCAGTGGTGGGATCTCGGCTCACTGCAACCTCCACCTCCAGGTTCAAGCAATTCTCCTGCCTCAGCTTCCTAACTAGCTGGGATTACAGGCACGCACCACCATACCTGGCTAATTTAGATACTTTTAGTAGAGATGGGGTTTCACTATGTTAGTCAGGCTGGCCTCAAACTCCTGACCTCTTGACCCACCCGCCTCGGCCTCCCAAAGTGCTGGGATTATAGGTCTGAGCCACTGCACCTGATCCTCTTTAACTCTTACCCACAAGCCATAACTACAACTTTGATTAGACAAGAGACTGATTTCAATAACTTTCTCCGGATAAGAAGATCACTGACTATGAAATGCACTGGTTCTGGTTTACAGAGGCTGTGCACTTGCATGTCTTTATGTCCTGAAAGACCTTTAGACATATAGGGCCTAATCATAATACATTTAAATGTTAAGTCACCATCCCCAAGTGAATATACATGAGTTGTATGTTACATGCATGTTTCTTCAATACACTTGTAGCAGGACCACCTTCATGAATATTCATAGCTCCTCCTGTAACCTGTTGAATGTATAGGTTTAGCCAACCTGTTCCACATGAAGCTCCTACCTCAAAGCCTCCTCCTTCAAAGTGCTGGTCTCTGAGTTTCTGCTGGAGGCAGCTCCCCAGCCTCCGGAATGGCTACCTTGCAGGTTGTAACCCTTTGGAAGAAACAGTCTCCATCTCCTTTTCTAAATTTATACATGGGTGGGGGGGTTAACTTAACATAGCTCAAAGCTGCATGGCTATGATGACCCTAGCACCACTAGGATGACTCTAGCCCCTTCCAGAGAATGTATAGGCTGCCAAAAATTTGGTGTTTGTACTAACCAACTTCTGACAATAGGCCCCTGACTGCCCTTTCTTAAAGCATTTACTGAAAAGGGCTTACAGTTGTGAATTCTTCCTCTGTCCCTTTGAGATGTAACTCCTGTGACTCAGGAGTGTTTCTCTGCCAGGCGCGGTGGCTCATGCCTGTAATCCCAACACTTTGGAAGGCCGAGGCAGGCAGATCACCTGAAGTCTGGAGTTCAAGACCAGCCTGGCCAACATGGTGAAACCCTGTCTCTACTAAAAATACAAAAAGTCCAGCGTGGTGGTGTACACTTGTAGTTCCAGCTACTCAGGAGGCTGAGGCAGGAGAATTGCTTGAACCTAGGAGTCAGAGGTTACAGTGAGCCGAGATCGTGACACTGCACTCCAGCCTGGGAGATAAGAGAGAAACTCCATCTCAAAAAAAAAAAAAAAAGAAGAGTGTCTTTTTCAAGAGCCTGAAAGCCATTCCTTTGAAACGTATTCATCAGAAATGCTGAGACCTCTGTCTTTCAGTCTTCAGAGTGGGAGAATAGAATCCTAACTTTGCTAATTGCCAGCTATCAGACACAGCTGGCCTAACCAACATTTCTAGTGAGCAACCCTGCTTCCACTTCCTGATCCTTCATTCTCCCTTTAAAAGGCACGGTCGCCTCTGTACAAATGAAAGGTCGTTCACACTGGACCCTCTTTCCCATTACAGTAGTTCGTTACTGATTAAAATCTGTCCTTATCACCTTAGTGTCTGGCTTTATCTTTCACAGAATTCAGTAAATTGCTTGAGTTACATAACTACTATGCACCTGAGCCACAGATTGATTCCAGGTCTCAAAGTCCATGGTCTACCCCTCTAGGAAGGCTTATTGAACATTGTAAACAAGCATAAAATGAAAGAGGAGCATAGCCAGTGTCATGTAGAATTCCGTGAGGGCAAATAAGCATGGCAAACGACCCAGAGAGCCTCATTGTTCGTAATTTAACATCATCTTTTCTTTTAATATACACCGTGGAACTGTGTTTTGGGTTTTTTACACAATAGGTCATTTTTCAACCCTTGCCTACCCCTCTCCCTTTTGGAATCCCCAGTTGTTTATTGTTCCCATCTTTGTGTCACTGGGTACTCAAATATTAAGCTCCCACTTACAAGTGAGAACAGGTGTTATTTGGTTTTCTGTTTCTTCGTTAATTCACCTAACACAATAGTCTCCAGCTGCATCCATGTTGCTGCAGAGGAAATGATTCCATTCTTTTTATGGCTGTGGAAACTGTGTTGTTTGATTGCTTTCAACTAGTGGGTAGTAGTGCTGGTTTGAGCACATATGCTAAAATTGGAACAATACAGACAAGATTTAGCATGGTGCCTGCATGAGGATGACATGCAAATTCATGAAGCATTTAATTTTAAAAAAAAAAAAAAAAAAAAGTGGGTAGTAAAGATATGACGAATGTATTCCCCAGATTAATTGATGTGATAAAATTCTTTACCTATATAGAGCCAATATAGTCTCAGACTTTTGATTCTCACAACTAAGGTGTGTCTTCCAATTTAGCCAATAGCAGTAATAGCCGAGATCTGGAAACTCCATCTTTAAATTTCTGTTTTATTTCTTAAATTGTTCAGAATCCAGACAAGATGCTACGTATGAGAGCCTTCTCACACACGCCACCAGAATCAAGACCCAGATGTAACACAGAAAACAATACAAAATCATCCAAGTAGAGCTTAATTCACAGGCTTTAAATTACACTTTTCAAAAACAAATTTTCAAAAAGTTTCCCATAGTCAAACCCATCAGACATTTATGATTCTTCCTCTGTCTTTATGCTTATAAAATAAAGCACTTTCCCCTATTGAAAACATAAATGTTACCTTTATTTTCTTTTAGTTGTCTTATGGATTCATTTATAAATCACTGTTTCTCTTCAGAAATTATTTAGTATATGTTTTCAGGGATCATTTTTCTTTTTCTTTTTCTTTCTTTTTTTTTTTTTTTTTTTTTGAGAGGGAGTTTCGTTCTTGTCACCTGGGCTGGAGTCCAATGGCGCTATCTCAGCTCACTGCAACCTCCGCCTCCCAGGTTCAAGCAATTCTTCTGCCTCGGCCTACCTAGTAGCTGGGATTACAGGCACCCACCATCACACCCAGATAATTTTTTGTATTTTTAATAGAGACAAGGTTTCACTATGTTGGCCAGGTTGGTTTCGAACTCCTGACCTCAGTTGATCCACCCACCTCAGCCTCCCAAAATGCTGAGATTACAGGCGTGAGCCACCACACCCTGCTGGGATCTTTTTTGTTTCCAACCATTATGCCCTTTCCCCAGGGCCAATTTTGGAATAATTCTTTCCCTCACTAATTATTAAGGCCACCTTTATCATATCGTACATCCTTGTTAATACATATTTTATATATTTTCTGGAGCATCTTGCCCAATGTACCTGTCAATTCTTATGTTGGTACCAGTCCTAAAAAAAATAAATAAATCGGACTCAAACTCATGATTCATTGCCCTCATAGGATTTGCCTTTTGAAACAGCAGGACCCTCACCCTGTCCAAAGTTCCCCGTACACCATGTGCTACTGCTGACTGGCCCTCTTAATAAATAAATGTAATCCATCCCACTGTAACACTGACTCCCCCCCCCGCTACAGAAGACATGGGCTAATGAGGCGGAGAGAAGCCAGCCAATGACAGACCAAACACACACACACACTGGACTAGGAAAGAAAATGCAAAACAGAGCTCTCAATTATCAGAGTGAGTGAGTGGGAAAAAAACAAACACTACTTACTGTATGACTCCATCTATCTAACATTTTTGAAGCAACAAACTTGTAGAAATGGTGAACAGATTAGTGGTTGCCATGAAATAGAGTTGGTTTGGGGAGTAATAGAGAGGTATGTTTGGTCATAAAAGAGTAACAGGAGGGCTCTTTGTGCTAATGGAAACATTATCTTTTAACTGTCATGTTGGATACACAAACCAACATTTGATAAAAGTATATAGGACTAAACACACACACAAAGTGTTACAGAATATCCAGGAGACCAGAGAAACCAATGGGTGAAACAGGAGAATGTTATTAATGTGGCCACCGGCTCAGAGGATTAGCATACCATCCCATCTCATCCGGGGTCTGAGCCCCGGAGAAAGAAAATGAGGTACTTTTGTACATTCAGGATGACGTAGCAGCTAACAAGTTTACAGAAGTCAGAACAAAGAACAGTTAATTAATTTGCAACATGTGTTGTGATGTACATTACTTTTGAAAAATTGCACTTTGAGAAATGCACTGTACATTTTTTGGATGTTATCTTGCCCTGTGACCTTGCAGCCAGTCAGCAAGAAAAACAGGAGTCTTGAGATGCCTGGAAACTTTGCTGAGAATGTGAGAATAGGTAAGGTAGGTTTTACAGGGAGTTGGTTAGTTTTAAGCAGAGCTGGGTGTTAGGTTTTATATTAAACAGCACACAACACAGCAAAATTTATTATACAGCAACTACAAATTATAAGGTTTTGTTTTTACTATTATTGCTATTATTTAATTTCCATCTTCAAAAGTACACATCAAGCTGGGGAAATCTGAGTATGACTGGTGGATTGTTTTGCTGTCAATATCTTCATTGTGATGTTGTACTACACTTTTGCATATGTTACTATCAAATGAAACGGAGGAAAGGGTAAGGAATCTCTGTATTATTTCTTACATCTGCATGTGAATCTATAATTATCTAAACAAAAATTTCAGTTGAAAAAAGCAAGGGTCTTTCCTTGATTATTAACTTGTTTGAAAGTGACTTGATTGGAAACCTACCTTGAAATTGCAGTGTAACTGCAATCTGTTTAAAGCAGTGCTGCTCAACAGACCCTTCTGCACAGAGGAAAATATCCTAAGTCTGTACTGCCCAATACAGTGACCACTAACACATGTGCACATTGAGCACCTGAGATGTGGCTAGTGCAACTAAAAAGCTGAATTACAAATTGCATTAATTTTGCTTAATTTGAATTTATGTTTAAATGGCCGTCTGTGATAGTGGCAACCTATGGGGACAGCACAGAAATGAAACTTGACCTTATTCCCTGTTCCCTTGTAAGCAGGAAGGAAGAACACTCATTTGGAAACCACGCAATTGTCTCACAAAACACATGTTTATGGTCTCTTTTGGATAAACAAATTGACCCTCTCTGTCTAAAAACTTGAGGAATTTATATTTGTCTTATCTGAGTTCCTTAGGAAACTAGCCATCAGGCCTCCCAGATAGCATCAAGTAAGTGAAACTTATCAGATCACCACAACTGCACAGACACCAGACCCCTCACTTGCCACAACTGCCTAACTGATGCCTGTTGACCCACTCATTACCTCTCCCTAAGTCCTGTTTTCCCGTATGCAGTTACATTTCTTCCCCACTATATCCTAATTTTAATCAGTTGAGAAGATGGATTTGAGACTGATCTCCTCCCCTAGGCTGTAGCAACCGAATAATGCCTTCTTCCCTGGCAATAATAGGGACTGGCTTTCTGTGTTGTAAACTACCGGATCTAGACCAAACCCCTGGCCTTTGTCTAACAATTTCCCACCACTGAACTAAGTTATAAACTCTGAGGATGGATTCCTGTTTCTTCATTTTAAGATGGGGATTAAAAGGTGCATCCCAGAGTGTTATTTTCAGTGTAAAATAGGGCTGTGAAACCTCCTTACACCTGTGCACAGGTAAACTGATGGCCCTGCAAGTGCCCAGAGAAGTAACCTTGTAAAGATTTAGTAAATGTTTCCCACCATTATTGGAAAATCTGGCTACGGATATGTCAGTAGCTTTGCTTTCATATATTTAGGGGGGAAATCAACAAAAACTTGATGCCCTGACCTGTCATTTTCTTCTAGCTTCCGCAACTCTAGCTCCAGACACTGCAGTTCCTGCAGTAATATTTTCAGAACACTAGAAAAAAAAAAAAAAAAAAAAAAACTTACAAACGTCCTATTTCTTCAAACACAACTAGGAATGATTGAACATCTGAAGAATAGGAAGAAAACCCCTCAGAGAACCAAAGACATGCAGTGAGTTCAGATCTAGGGACGTGGCCAGTAGGAATGGTTCTTCACTGCCATGTGGGCAGCCAGCAGCTAGAGACAGCCTTGGTCTTCAGCCAGCGAGTTTCACAACTTCAGGCCGGGTCGCTGTCCGCCTGCTCCGAGAAAGCTCCGGTGGGAAGGGGTAGGGGTGGTTCCGCCCCACCCATCCAGGGGCGGAGCCTGAGCCTGCGCTTGCGCGCTCAGCGGCCGGACGTATAACCTACGGGTGCGCGCCCCCGCCCGCCACACCCGCGCAGCCTCTCGGGCATGCCATTCGGCTCCAGGGTCTGAGCCTGGTCTGCTCTCCACGCAGGTGTCCCGCAAGCCCCGTTCAGCCATGTCATCCTGCATCAAAGTAGCGCTGGTGACTGGGGGCAATAAAGGCATCGGCTTGGCCATCGTGCGCGACCTGTGCCGGCAGTTCTCGGGGGACGTGGTGCTCACGGCGCGGGACGCGACGCGGGGCCAGGCGGCCGTGCAGCAGCTGCAGGCGGAGGGCCTGAGCCCGCGCTTCCACCAGCTGGACATCGACGACCTGCAGAGCATCCGCGCCCTGCGCGACTTCCTGCGCAAGGAGTACGGAGGCCTGGACGTGCTGGTCAACAACGCGGGCATCGCCTTCAAGGGTAAGGGGTTGGGGTCCTCCGAGGGGACTTGGCCTCCCCGACAGCCTTCTGCCAGGGTGGGCTGCGCCTGTCGAAGAAGCGCTGCACTGAGGCCCCTGTCGGCTGCGAGGTCCAGAACGGCACCCTAGGGAGGACAGGGAGGAGCTAGGAGATGTAAGGAGTGCAGAATCCATGGAGAGAGAGAGAGATTTCCAGCCAACGGGAACTTTGTGTTTCCCTGGCTCAGCCTCTTGAGGTTTTCTGTAACTTTTTCAGTTTTTCTGAATTGAGCTTTAGGGCAATTGGATGAATGTTGAACTAATTTTAAAATAAACGATAGATTGCAACAACAAAAAAATACTCCAAGATCCGGTGTGTGCCCCCCTCATCCTCCTTCCCCCAATGGTACCATCTTACAAAAATACTAGAACGTTATCAAACCAGGAGATTGACATTGGCTCAACACTGTAACCAGACACAGACTTTAGGCAGAAGGCACTAATTTTTTTTTTCAGTGTCATTCTATAGACTTTTACCCTATATGTACAATTTATTAACTGTGTTCTCTTTCTCTCCTAAAAGTTGCTGATCCCACACCCTTTCATATTCAAGCTGAAGTGACGATGAAAACAAACTTCTTTGGTACTCGAGATGTCTGCACAGAGTTACTCCCTCTAATAAAACCCCACGGTGAGTCTGATGGGAAACAGCCGCGCCTTCTG